AGCTTTTTCTGCTTATGTGGTGCTGAGGAATCGAACCCAGGGCCTCATGCATGCAAGGCAAGTGCTCTACCACTGAGCCACCTTCCCAGCCCTCTATTGTTGCTTTATCTGTAAAGTTTACTAATATTCATATGAATCATGAATATTAGTAAGGCAATGTAATTTTTGTCATTGTGAATAAAGTTTGCTAAAATGTTTCCCAAATGCCTTAACCTCCTGAATGTTGGGATTTCAGGTGGAGCAGGTGGGCAGGGTAGCAGTCAGGAATGGGGAGTTTACAATTCTGTTTGCATATGTCCCATGGGAGCTTAAGTAAATCAATGGTGACCCATATCAGACAAGGTTGAGCTGGTATAGCTGGCATAATACCTGAACAAGGTACTTGGCTGAGGACCAAAGCAGGGGCTTAAACAAACCCACATTCTCCAAAGTCCTGTGCTCTAGTACAAGGCTACAGGATCAAGAAGCATGGACAGCAGGAGAAGCACTCTCTTCCTAGTTGACACAGAGACAGTGCTTGCTGCAGAACCCTGATATTGGATCTCTTGGGGGAGATATAGATAAAGAGGACATATCACATTTGTTACTGGGAATTGAATTGCATTTTCAAAAAGAGTGGTTTTCAGTTGACCAAGGACACATCCTACATAGAGGAGTGTACTGGGCTTCCCTGTCTGCATAGCTGGCTGTGCTCAGCTACTAAGAGAGCTGCTTGTCATTTCCACGTGCTCCACACATTATCTCCTTCTCCCAGTCTTTCCTGTGACCTCATCCTCTTCTTTTTCCAGCATCTTGGGATTTCCTCAAATACAGAATCTTGTTGATAGCTCTGTCCTCTGGTTTCCTCTGGAACTAGGAGTTGCCTTTTGGAACCTGACTATCTTTAATTTCATCAGTTTTTCTCTGAGGCATTACTAGGTTCTTACTATAAAAGGAGCTATTAATAACTTTGTGTGTGTGTGTGTGCATGCATGCTGGTCCTAAGGCTTGAACTCAGGGCCTGGGCATTTTCCCTGAGCTATTTTTGTTCAAGAGTAGAATTCTTCCACTTGAGCCACAGCTCCACTTCCAGCTTTTTTAAAATAACCATTTTCATATAGACATAATTTAATGATTTGAAGTAATGTTCTTAATATATTGTTGAATAGAGAAAAGGCAGATAAAAATAAGAATTACATTTGAATCCTATTTATTGCTTACAGATGTGTGTCAGAGTATATGTATATGTTTATCCATACATCCACATATACTACTTAAACACTTTAGAAATATTTGTTACAATAGATAGCAATTAATAGATCACTTAAACTTCATTAAACTTTTAGTATTCTTTGCTCATTAATTCTACTCCTAGAAATCTATCTTTCAAAAATATTGACCCTAGCCAGGCGCTAGGGGCTCATGCCTGTAATCCTAGCTACTCAGGAGGCTGAGATTTGAGGATTGAAATTCAAAGCCAGCCCAGGCAAGGAAAGTACATGAGACTCTTACCTCCAATTAACCACCAGAAAACTGGAAGCAGTGCTGTGGCTCAAGTGGTAGAATGCCCGTCTTGGGCTAAAGAGCTCAGGGACAGTTCCCAGGCCCAGAGTTCAAGCCCTACAACCAACCAAAACCCAAACAACAACAACAACAACAAAAAACATAGTTGTGATTTTTTAAACAAAAACAAATGAACACCATGGTATTATATAATTTTAATTTTTAATTTATAATACAGTTTGGATATCTTTTCTTGGCACTTTTTAAAAGTAATTGTTTAATAGTACATATTTGAATAAGTTCCAGTTTTGAAATATTACAAAATTGTAATCATATATACCTCATATATATAATCTCATATACATATATATTTATATTTATATCATGTCTAGGGTCAGGGCAAATTCTTACTAACTTAAGTAACTCACAAAGTTATTCTACCAAACCATGGTTAAAGGGATTTTCACTTTGGGTCTATCTTCTCATATGAAACCCTATGTTTGGCATAACTTGCTCATATATTACTATTTCTTTGCAGCCTGTGTTGCCCCCAACACCAAATCCCTGGCTACGAAGTCCAGTGGTAGCCCTTAACATGCGAAGAAGTCGGCCACCATTAGATCTCCGTACCATCCGGGAAAAAAGGATTGCTATGGGACCTTTTGGGGCTCCCAGTGAGGAGTTGTAGCTGGGTAATACTCAGACTTTTTTCCAGACTCAAGACTTCTCCCTTTGGAAGGAAAGATGCTCATGGATAGACTGAATGCTTCTCTTGCTCCACGAAGCAGGCAGTGCTGGACCAGGTCACATTCAGTCTCTTTCATTGACTTGTTACAATCTTCTTGTTACTATATTTATAAAGAAAAATTATTTAACAGTCTACTTGATTTCTTAATGTGTGTCATTTACATAGAGGTTTAAAAAAGTCTGACATCACATTAGGTGACACGGTATATTTTCACATACCCTTCAAAGGTCATATTCTAAATACAGCCAGAGCCTTAGGTGAGGAATAAAATTTTTGTACAGGAGAAATGTCAAGACTCAGTGTCTTTTTCAAGCTGTACAAATTCTCCTCTTGAACCCAAATTAGAATCATGTTTGTCCAGGAAAGAAAACCACAAGTCTAGTCTCATTAAAGAGGAAGTTCTTAAACTTCAGTCCACAAAGCTATGTGAAAATCAAGTCACAGGAACATTACAAAATAAACCAAATACCAACACAGTCATTTCCTCCTTTATACTGTGTAGGAGAATGTGAACACATTTAGATGCTGAAGAAAGAACTTATCTGTTTCTAGCCCCAATTTCCAATTCTCATAAGATTTGGACATTGTGAAACATCTTCACATTATCTGTATCATGAAACAAGATTCTGTAAGAGCACTTAATAGCCATAGAAAAGAAAAAGAAAAAAAAATAGCCACGAAAAGGAGAGACCCAGTATTCAAAGAAGTGTGAATCCAGGTTCAACAATATATGTTTTCCTCTCTTTTCCCAAAGGTATTCTCTTTTCTGGTGGCACTATTATTAGTAAAATGTAAAAAGCATTACTTTTCCTCCATGAACTAGCAGCCACAAAACATGACAGGGAGAATGTAAGTTTACTGTATAACAGAAAACCTTCCCTTTTCCTGACTCATGTAATCCATGCTTTCATTTGTTACTGGATACATTTACTCTAAGTGAAATACTGATCTAAGAAGAACCATTGCATACAGTATATTAAAATTATTCCCACATCTAACCTGAGGATTCTGGGATCTGGCTCCCATGAGGCATTTGAGACAATGAGTAATTCTGTGCTTGTACTTTCTCAGCCCCTCTATCTTTGAATTTGTCATTTAATACTGAAAGGGCTTTATTGTGTACGCTTTGCATTACTGGCAAGAACTAGAGAGTGGAACTGAACTCTCCAGTCAGTGAGCCAGCAAGGGGTACAGAGGGTCTCTTAGGCCACTTCCACTGTGAATGACATAACAGCAGCAGAAGAAATGGCCCTTGTCCTTGAGGAGTTTACAAGAGATTTTATAATGCACGCATACAAGAACCTTTCAAAACAATATGCTTAATCTAGTGGGAATTGAGTGGCACACAGAAGGTGTGCTGGAGGATTTCAAGGGTGCAGAATGCTCGAGTCATCTTGCAAGACAAGGCACCTTCACTGGATTTGAGACTGCACAAAATTTAGATAGAGGGGAGGAGGAAAGACCTTTTCAGGTAAAGATACAACAGAGAAAAAGCTATTTCCCATTCACTTGTATCTTCACGACAGATCTGGCACCCCATCTCACCATCATGATTTTGATCATCTATTCAAATTAACAAAATGTTATACTGACAAAATAGTAAATTCCTTGATCCTTTGTAATGAACTCTAACTTATCCTTACTGGCTGATTCTCTTTTTTCATAGAATGTCTCCATTTGTCTTTTCATTCATCTCCCTTTCTCTGCATTCATTATTAACTCGCTGGTTGAGTAAGTGAATAACTAATCCCATCCAACTGTAAGAGAAAACTTTTGCTAGGGACATCATTCAGTAATAGGGTACTTGCTGGTATGCAGAAGGCCTTGAGATAGATCATCAGTGTCACAGAAAGAAGGAAGAGGAGGAGAAAGAACAGGAGTAAGAGAAGAGGAGAGGAGAGGAGAGGAGGAGCAGCAGCAGCAGCAGCAGGAAGAGGAGGTAGCAACAGCAGCCACTTCTGTTTGGCTCAGGCTATGAGAGACTCCTCAGGCTGACCTAGAGAAACTGCCTGTTTTTCATCCAAGATTCATATTTCTCATCATTCACACATTCCATCTAAGTTAGCATCCCTGAGTAAGCATGTCAACAGACAAGAACAAGAGCAAATTCTCCCCAAAGCATTTCAAATGTGTTATGTTCGCCCAACACCAGTGGCTCACACCTGTAATCCTAGCTACTCAGGAGGCTGAGATCTGAGGATCACAGTTCAAAGCCAGACCAGGTAGGAATATCCATGAGATTCTTATCTCCAATAAACCACCAGAAAACCAGAGGTGGCACTGTGGCTCAAATGGTAGAGCGCTCATCTTGAGCTGGGACAGCACCCAGGCCCAGAGTTCAAGTCCCATGACCAAAAAAAAAAAAAATTGCTATGTTCAAAATAGAAATCTCAGTTTCCCTCACATCCCTACACAAAGCAGTGCCTCTGTTCACGCAATTATTCAAGCTTGAGAGTCATCAGTCAACCTCTCTTCTTCTCTCCTCCCCTCCCTTTTCCTCTTTTTCTCTCTCCTCCTCTCCTCTCTCCCCTCTTTCCTCCTTTCTCTACATCCAATGTTATCCTTGAGACCTTCAAAGCTGTCACACACACACACACACACACACCCCTTCTCCATCTTCACCACCACTATCATGGTGCAGCACCATCTTTTCTCACCTGTACCATAGGAATAGCTTCCCAGTTGTCTGCCATTTATTCCCCATGGTATGGAAATAGCATGAAAGTTTATCTACATACCTGGCTGGAAAATGAATTTGACTACAAGGGTTATGGAATTATTGATCCTCTATCTGCTAGACATATTGCTGCGAATCTCCTTAATTGCAAAATGGTGAGGAAAAAAGTAATCTCTTCCTCCTATGGCATCCTATTGATACAATTTGATCCTCATCATTAATGGATATTTTCATAAACACTTATCAAATACATGCAATAGTTGTCATCATGGACATACCAGAAAGTAGAAGATGGTCTTTTTTTTTTTTGTCAGCCATGGGGCTTGAACTCTGGGTTTGGGTGCTGTTCTTCAGCTCTTCAGCTCAAGGTGAGCACTCTACCTCTTGAGCCACAATGCCACTTACGGTTTTCTAGTGGTTTGTTGGAGATAAGAGTCTCACAGACTTTCCTGCCTGGGCTGGCTTTGAACTGTGATCTTCAGATCTCAGCCTCCTGAGTAGCTAGGATTATAGGCATGAGCTACTGGCACCTGGCTGGTTTTAGGTTTTTATGCATTCAAGGATGAGGTCTTCTTTGGGATTTCTTTGTCCTGTCCTCATGGGGATTGACTTATGGTACAAACTATCCTGCTTAGGGTTTTATGGTAGTGGCATCCTTTTGATGCCAACTGTTCTGCACTTTCAGATAAGACTGGGGTCAGGGATAAAGTTTTTCTGAGACCCAAGAGGAGTCTCAGGGGGATGGTGGTCAGTGGGCCATGGGAGAACATTGAATTATGAGAACAAAGCAGATTCCCAAAAGATACCTACTATTTTTAATACTATTCATTAATGAAAAGTAATACCCTAATCAGGCACCAGTGGCTCTTACCTGTAATCCTTTGAACTGCAGTCATAGTTCAAAATCAGCCTGGGCAAGAAAGTCTGTGAGATTCTTATTTCCAGTTACCATCAAAAAGTTGGGCTGGGAATGTGGCTTAGTGGTAGAGTGCTTCCTATCATGCATGAAACTCTGAGTTCCATTCCGCAGTACCACAAACACAGAAAAAAGAAAACAGGACTGGTGCTATTGTTCAAGTAGTCGAGTGCTAGCCTTGAGCACTGTCCAGGCCTTGAGTTCAAGCTCCAGGACTGGCCAAAAAAAAAAAAAAGGCTGGAGGTGAAGCTGTGGTTCAAGTACTAGTCTTTAGCAAAACAACAACAACAACAACAACAACAAAAAAACCCCACAACCCTCAGGGATAGTGCCCACCCTCTGAGTTCAAGCTCCAGGACCTACACCAAAAACAAAAAGTGATAACTACCAGACACAAAAAAGCATATAGAAAATTCCATTTATATGAATGTCCAGAACAGGCAAATCCATAGAGACAGAAAGTAGATTAGTGGTTGCTTAGTCCTGAGAGAAGTAGGTAGGGAAGGGAATTAGAATCGGTTGAATAGGAACTAAAATTAGATTGTGGTGAGGTCACAAAACTCTGTGGTTATACTGAAAAACTAAATTATAATACACTAAGTAGGAAAACTAGGATAATTATATCTTAATTTCTATCCTAAAATCAGTGATAGAACATTTATGTAGTATATGTGAAGCTTTGGGTTCTATCCTCAACATAAAAAGAGAAAAAGATGTATGTGGAGAGTCTGTAAGTCTATATTGAAAGCTTTTAATGGACCTGAAAGGCCTATCAAAGTTAGACAGATGGACAATGGTTTAGAAATCAGAGGCATCTGAGCCCAAAGATTCTACTACTGTAGAGGGTCTTGTCTGTGAGACAAATGACTTCTCTGAGATATCTTTTGGTCACTGTAAAAAAAAAAAGATGTAATTCTTGGTTTACAAATTGCTTTTAAGGTATCAACTACAAACAAATGTGCACAAATGTGCCTCTTTGTAATCTCAATTACTTGGGAGTGGGGGAGCAGGATTCCATGTTTGAGTCCAGTCTAGGTAACATAATGAAACTTTGTTTCAAAAAAAAAATTCAATTGCTACTGTGTTCATGTTCTCAGTACTATTCTAGACTCTGAGGGATACAGCAATGACCAAGACCATTGATGTTCTCTACAGTTTAACTCATGTCAAAAATGCAGCTTTTTTTAATGTGAAATCTCCCTAGTGTTAAACATTTGGTGATTAATTGGAAAATAGTTAAAACACTGTAAACTAATGTTGTGCCAAAAAAATCTCTGGACCAAGTTCATCCCTCAGGCAGACACTTTGCTGTCCCTAATGTTGGCTTTTCAAATGATGAGTTCCTAGAATGTTGCTCACTTGGCCGAACCTTTGCATCTTCAACCTGCTCTTATATCGATTTAAAAAAACAATGAAATAAAAACATTCCTCATAATAGGAAATCATCCTAG